AATTCCTATACAAACTTCAAATGGTTTGTGCCATCTCAGTTTCTCACCAAATGTGTTCACATTTTGAGAGGTTAGTCAGGATCCGATTTGGAATCGTTTAAGTATTGTGGAGCGAAAATTTCAAATTTTGCATCATTCTAATGGACAATGATGGGACTAGATTTCCCGTCAACTCATCCTGTTCTTGACTTCTTGATCGACAGACCAAATGCGACATCCTATAGTAATCGTACTCGCCACCCAGTACGTTTTGTCCATCTTAAGCAATTCCAAGACTTCTACGTTCTGATTTACAAGACTACCGGGTTGGACCGGCACTTTAACCGGAAAGAGGATTCGCATTGCGGTAGGACAATCTCAAAAGTAAAATTAGCATGGAGATAGCACCTCACAAACCTTCAATTTCAGACGAGCGAAGCTGACGCTTTTCACTCTTCCGGAATGCCTGGCAACGGAATCGCCGGCATTTCCCTTTCCCTTGCGAGTCTCTTCGTTCTTCAGCTTTAGCAGTCGTTAATTTATTGGCGTTTGTCGGCCTCAGAAGCTAGACGGCTGGGTATCACGCTTTCGACGGCATGGCGTGACGGTTCTGAGATCATGCTTGTTAAGGAGGGATGTTTTTGAAACGGTACTTGATTCATATTAATTTTTATTTTCGTTTTAATCGATGGAACAATCAGTTGGAGCTGCCTAAATTGACTTATGTTTCACTATCTACAAACGAAGCAGAGTTAGCTGCATTAGGTGAGGTTTCACCCTGGAGGCTCTGTGGTTAGGGCAGCTGAGCTTCCGGATCTCGATGATGGAACAAATTCCAATTTGGATCAATAAACAATCGAATACAGCAGATTGAGTAGGTCGACCTAATGCAGTATCAAACAAGGTCTCTAATTTTATCATTCAGTTTAAAATTGCTTAGCCATTACCACATTGCCACATTTGCGGTTGTTCTGATCATATCGTTCAATTTAATTGAAATCCTTGATAATACTATTTACTGGTATGGGCTGTGAATTGGTGAAGTGGGCTTTTCAATACGGATTTACAGCTCTAATTTGCACTGTCGGCTTCGATGCCCGGTTTGGTTTAGAACTTCTGTCGGGTTGGAAATGTTCTCGCTTAGAGTATCATTGTGCTTGCCACACAATATGTATTGGTTGGCATAGGAAAGCTCTCAATTGATAACTGTGGAAATGCTCCAAAGAACACTCCGTTGAGAGCATTCGATCAAAATTCCTCCTAGCATTCGTAAACCATTTCTTCCTCCAGATAAACCTCTGATAGAATGGGAGATAATTTATGTCCTCTTCGGTCAATTAATCAAATTTCCTAACCCAATTCTTCCGGGCATGTTGAATTCTTGGTTGCCTCGAATTCTAAAAAAGAAGCAATCCAATTTCCTCGAAACACAAAACCCCTTTCATTATCCGGAAAAATTCCCCAGTGCTATTCATGGCCTACCTGTACGGAAAATCTCTCATGGGAATGATTCATCGTCTTCATCTGTGACACAGCCGCACCCCCAAAGTCAAGGCTTGCTGCTTTCTTATTTGATCTCCTTCCATCCATTCAGTGTCAAGATTTTAAGAACACACTCGATTGACTGACGAAGGGGTTGAAGGCCTTCCACACGCTCTGTCTATGTGTTGTGTACGGCTTTATTGAATTATTTTCGTCTTATCTCTCCCGCCAGAGGATGTCACAACAGATGCAACATCATGATATTCCTTCGTTCCTCCATGCGTCGCTGGAAATTATTTATGACATTTTATTATATAATGAGAACACCATCCAACTTTGAACAACCGTGTGCTCACATACCTACTATGTACTAATATGTGGTGCTGGTGTTCAGCAGGAAGGTGATGAAGAATTATCATTCTCCCATTCCCATCCGGAGGGCCAAACCAAACAGCCAGCGCCAGCACCGATGATGGCACATGGCCATACATCATCCCCAGTTCGGAAACATAACCTTCAAACGGGTGGCTGCCCGTGATAGGGAGCAGACGTAGGTCGTACGGTCACAGGAGGAAACCTGCTGACGGTTGCCGAAAAATGAACATAACATCATCAATTGGCAAAATCTAACGTGTCACGACCGACGCCCTCGTCTCCCCCGTCCATGCCTGAGTGAGCCCGAGGACGAATAGGGATTCGAAACATGCTGACTCTACAGATCGACGACCTGCTTTCGTCCCCAGTCGCCACATGTGTTTGCTTGTCCCTGTATGTTTGACGTTGGCAGGGGTGCGGGGGATCCGTGTATGTGTGTGTGTGTGTGTGATCCATTCCAGCGTTGGAATAAAAATAACACACCCCTCGCCGGGTGACGATGACGACGACAAATATAACAACTGTCGAATTACCGGGAAATATCAACAATAACAAACAAAGAAGCCCGTGGGAGGCACGCCTATTGCGATAATGTGTGCGTCATTTTCACCCAGCATCAATCATTCGAAGGGAGGCGCTTGGTTAATTGTGAAGATGATTGAACACAAATGAACTTTTCAGCCAGCCAGCAAAAAATCACGTCCACATTCCGAGCTTAATCAATCCATCCAATTAACCAAATTCAAACACTCGCAATTACAATAATTGCGCCCCGAATGGCGTGCTTAATTTGTTCTAATCGACCAGATTGAATCGCTCTCTATTTGTAAACCAATGCCCCTGATCACCCCTGAACCGCACACACCGACTCGACCTTAATACTTCATTCACGATTAATATTGCTGGGGGATTCGGTATTCAAAGCATTCCCCGCTGGGACCCACCTTCCTCGTCAACAGGGCCACTACAATCACTCCCGGTCAAAGGGTACCCGACAAAACAGCTGCTACTCCTGCCCCTTTTACCGTCCCATTGTGTACCCTTGTTAGCTCGGTCAAAGCAGGCATCGATTTCGGGATCCACAGCCAGCTAGGATGGCATAATCAAAGTCCGCAACCTTTTCGAACCCCTCTCTCTCTCTCTCTCTTCATGCTTGCTCTCTTAACACTCCTCAATCTGGTTGCTTCTTAATAGTCCCCGGAGATTGCGACGACGTCGCTTCCTATTTTGTAGAAGAATTTTCATAAACCGCCCCCCCCACCTCCCATTTCAGCATTTTCCATACACCGCACCTGATGGTATCCCGGAACGGGCGAAACTCACTTTGAATAGAATATCAATTCGCAAGTTTTCTTGTTGTCTTGGCTTCTCGCTTGACGGCCTGGACCGGAGCGAGCGCAGCAGACTCTACGTAGAATGAATGGATGGCAGCGACAGGCTACTCTTTTTGCAAACTAATTTAATGGCATTTTATCCTCTCACTCCGGCCGGAGCTCCTCGGCGAAGAGCGTCTCAGTGGGGGTGCAGAGGAGGCGCGGGTGCGGAAATCGATTCCATTTCAGGAGCCCCCCTCCCCGAGATTGAAACGTCTTCGTTAAGAGCTTCTTCGCTTCCTGGAGGGATTTTCCTTTTCGAAGGAACCATCATCATCCGGACAGCTTTCCCGTAGTAGCTACTTTGGACAGCGCGTGGTGGCGTAATCTACGGTTCGTGGAAATGAGTAGGCGGAGGGCGGGAGGTGGGGGGAGAGGAGACGATGGGAAATGGATGAAAAAAGCCATCCTAGATGGCTGGTAAAGATGTTGTTCTTTATTGTGGAACAAGTGGAGCTATTAATTCGCTCTTGCTATGGAATGGTGCGGAAGTTTCCGCGAAAGGGGCTGGTAAATATTTACTGCTAGGTGCGGCCTTTGTTTGGTGTGGAGGAGGATGTAAAAAAAAATGCTGGTTGCTATGGCTGGTAAGAAACGGTTGCTTGGCCGTGAGTGTTGTTAAATGGGTTGTTAATAGATTTGTGCTCGAAAAACTTTGCTACAAAAGGTTGTGGTAGCAGTAGTCGTGAACAAAACTGCTCGTTAGACTCCGTGTCGAGTGGTTTTCTCCACGAAGTATAGTTTTGTTGCATTTCGGCCAATCCAATGTTCCCTTCTTCCCGTGGTAAGGTGAAGTTCTCCAGTGCCGATTGAGGAAGGCGCAACTCTTTCATTGACTAACACAGGGGTCCCGAAGAAACATGCTCAATGTGTTGGCTCAGGAAGTACCAAATCTTCGGTCCCAAGCTAATTGAAGTACCCCTCAAAATGTAGGAAAATATCTTGGAAAATCCACGAATCCGCGATTAAACTCTGTCAAATTTATAAGGTGAATCAAAATAAACACAAACTTTGACAGATTCTAATACGAGAATGGAGTGCAGGAGTGTTCATTGCGTTGTACACTGAAAACGAATCTTACTCAGAGAGTGAGTCCCTTTTTACTCATTCGTATGAAGAAATTTTTAAAAGCTTAAAAGTTACACACTTGACGCTAACTTGACATACAAATCATCAAAATCCATTTGGTCAAGCAGGACAGGGTTAATTGGTAAATGAGTGACCAAACGGGTTCCACGCAGTTCGCCACTACTGTTATCTTTGTTATCTTCACGTAGGCTCTCGGTCTGCTTCACTTTAAGAAACGATCGATAGATAACAGTACTGTGCGAACAGGCCTTTTATCCCGATCGCTTCTCAATCGTCAGCAGCTGTAGCCGGTCAGCTGATAGTGCATATTATCATCTATATATGTTCTTGCTTGATTGCCGGAATCTGGCCGGCACGACGACAAAGGCGAACTTGTGTACAACGGCGAAATTGTGGTTTCAATCACTGGGCGGACTGGCGCGAACCGAGATAGTTTTCGGACGAGAGTGCAGAAACTGGTCTGTGTTGCTTTGTAGTTCTTAGGTAACTGATTTATTTGTCGTGTTCAGTGTGAGGTGAAGGGTAATCAATTTGGGATGTATATAGATGTATAAGTGTAGAAGCGGTGTTCTGGGTGGTGGGTATTTTTAAGTTAATTTATAATTCATTTTGTTTGTATAATTTGCTCGTAATTTAGTGCTTTCATGTTAGTACTATAAGTTCTGGGTCGCAACATCACCGGGCCCCGTTGAAGCGCAGCATTCAAGAAGAGTTGGTGGTGACGGTTTCACAATCGTGTGCCTTCGTTCGACCCTGATCTTCGATGGGAAGGACGCATAGTTCAGATGTTGCACGGCGTCGGATACCTAGTTGCGTGCGCACATCCACTACGCGCACGATGTTGTCACTTCCGGGATAGATGGCCACAACTCTGCCAAGGGGCCATTGCATCGAAGGAACGTTATCTTTCTTCACCAAGACCATGGTCCCGACGCGAAACTCGGTTGGGGACTTCCTCCACTTAGCTGGCCGTTGGTGGAGAAACCCGATGTATTCCGTGGACCAACGCTTCCAGAGATTTTGAACGGAGCGTTGTGTGGCCTGGAAATGGTTGAGACGATTGGTTGGCACCTGAGAAAGGTCTGCCTCCGGCAAATGAAAGGGGGACTCTCCTAGCAAGAAATGGCCGGGTGTCAGGACAGAGAGATCCTGCGGGTCGTTGGAAAGAGGCGTCAATGGTCTGGAGTTCAGTATACATTCAGCTTGGGAAACAACTGTGCGCATATCGTCGTAGTGGTGTGGAGCTGCTCCGATGATCTTCCAGAAATGCCGCTTGAAGGCCTTTACTGCAGCCTCCCATAGGCCGCCGAAATGCGGCGCACGTGGTGGAATAAACTGGAACTCGATGCCTTTCTCCAAACATTCGGTGGTCCATGCAGTGCCGTTGAGTTGATCAACCAAAGCTTGTCGCATCTCCATAACTTCTCGACGCGCTCCGACGAACGTAGTGCTGTTGTCGCAGTGTATTGTACGAACACGCCCGACACGACTCGCGAAGCGCCTCAACGAATTGACGCACGACTCCGTCGACAACCCGGCGACGATGTCGAGGACTACGGCTTTTACGGCGAAACAGACGTACACTGCGACCCAGACTTTTACCGACGCGCCTCTACCTGCCAATGGTCGAACGAAAAACGGCCCACAGTAATCCAGCCCCGTATGCTCGAATACTTTCGCTGCAGTGACACGGCTTGATGGTAGTGGAGCCATAAACTGGTTGCTTGCTGGGGGATGAAAACGAAAACAAGTCACGCAATGGTGGACTGTCCTTCGAGCTAGATCTCTTCCGCGTATTGGCCAGAAGCGCTGACGGATTGTTGCCAGGAGCTGTGTGGGTCCTGCATGCAGTGTTTGATGGTGAACGGAGTTGGCGATCAATCTTGAAAGGTGGTGGTCGGCCGGTAGTATGATCTGGAGGCGGCTGTCGAAGGATCCAGGTGAGTTTGCTAGCCGTCCATTCAATCTGAGAAGACCGGTGTCATCGATCCACACATCAAGGTCTTTTAATGGTGATTTGAAGTCAGCCTTTCGCAGGGCCATCCGTTCTTGATCATTGTGCCGCAGGTGGCGCAGTTCCTGCTGGAAACATGCAGCTTGCGTAACACGGATGAGTGACTTCAAAGTACTGTCGTATTCGACCGGAGTGATTGGTCCCACTGTACGAGCCATCCTCGGCAATCGGCAGTTTTTTGCGAAACGTTGACAGAATGAAGCAACTTTGATAAGATGCGACAGTTGTGAGTAATCGTGGATTAGCGAATCGTCAAATGTGACACTTAGGAGTACAACCGTTTGCCGCTGCTCAGGTGTCTGCTGCTGAATGTCGGTCGACGTCAATGGAATTATCGGAGCTGGCCACGATTCCACTTCATTCAGCAAGTAGGACGGCCCATGCCACCACAGTGCATCGTTCTTGATATCATCTGGTTGTACCCCGCGAGATATACGATCGGCGGGATTTTCTAGGGTTGGAACGTGCCGCCACTGAGATCCTTGTGTGAGTTTCTGGACCTCCGATACTCGGTTGGACACGAATATCTTCCAGGACGACGGTGGTGAATTAATCCAGTGCAAAACGATCGATGAATCTGACCAGAACGTGACCGTAGAGTCAAACTTGGTTGTTCTACGAATGGTATCAGCCAACTGGCTTCCCAGTACAGCTGCACAGAGTTCCAACCGTGGGATGGAATAACCACATACTGGAGCAACACGTGATTTTGCTATGAGCAAATGGCTTGTTCGTTTAGTGGAAGGTCCTGTTGATACCGTGTAGATGCACGCCCCATACCCTTTGGAAGAAGCGTCGACAAAACAGTGCAACTCGTAGCTCTTTGCACTCTCTTCGAACACCCACCGAGGGACTCGAAGATTCCGAACGATACCAATTCCTGCTCGGAAGGACAACCACCATGATTGCAGAATGTCCGGCAGCTTTTCGTCCCAGCAAAGTTTCTCCTGCCATAATCGCTGCACAAACATCTTCGCACTGGCCACCACTGGACCGACCAGACCCAAGGGGTCAAATAACTGCGACATCTCCGATAGTACGAGGCGCTTCGTAACGCGTGGCAGGGCTGGAAAATCAAGGACCTTGAATCCAAATACGTCCTCCTTTGGAAACCATAGTAGGCCCAGTGCCTTGATCGATGCAGATCGGTCGAGTTCTAGCGGCAACTGATGCTCCTTTAGTTCCTCTGGAAAATGTTCCAGAATACTGGGGTGATTCGCGCTCCACTTCCGCAGATTGAAACCACCTCGCTTTAGTAATTCGGTCAGCTGTATGCTGGTTTTAACTAGAGCTTCGATGCTCTCGGATCCAGTTAAAACATCGTCCACATAAAAATCTTTCTTGACAATGGGGGCAGCCAGTGGAAAGTCATGCCCTTCATCGTCTGCCAGCTGGTTTAGGACTCTGGTTGCTAGATACGGAGCACAAGATGTGCCGTAGGTGACAGTGTTCAAGGAATAGGTTTTCAGTGGCTCTGATTCGTTTCGGCGCCACGCAACTTGCTGTAGTAGGCGATCGTCTGGATGAACCAAAGCCTGTCGAAACATTTTCTCCACGTCTGCTTTCATGACGAATCGGTGGAAACGAGAGTTGACAACGATGCACAACATGGAAGGCTGAACTGTTGGTCCTGTGAGAAGAAGATCGTTCAAGGAGAGCTGGTTGCTGCTTTTAGCCGAGCCGTCGAACACAACTCTTATTTTGGTTGTTGACGAGTCGGGACGATGGACTGCGTGATGGGGCAGGAAATACTGGGGTAACGCGACGCGAGTCTTCACTTCCTCCATGTGGCCTAACCGTTCGTACTCCTCCATGAAATCGGTGTAGCTCTTGTATAGTGTTTCATCGGAGCGGAACCGTCTTTCAACGGCAGAAAATCGAAGAGCTGCTGTGTTCCACGTGTCTCCAATAGACGGTAGAAGTTCTTGCCTAACTGGTAGACGTACTACATAACGACCGTCGGCATTGCGACTGTGTGTAGATGCGAAGTGGGCTTCACACTGTTGTTCTTCGGCAGTCAGGCATTTCCCGACATCAAAGTTTTCCACTTCCCAGAATATTTTCACCTGTGCGTCCAGGTTGTCGAAAGCGGAGACCAAGCAGGTAAGTGGAGTGGTCATCGAAGCGGGAACCTTTCCCGAGAATACGTATCCGAAGCTTGTCTTCTGGAGTGGTGGTAGCTGGTCATCGAACGGAATCTGCTCGGATTGCAGAATGAACGGGATAAGCTCGGCACCGATAATTAAATCGATACCATAACTTTGATAGAAGTGTGGGTCTGCTAACAGTAGATGCTTGGGAATTTTCCACGTGTTAATATCCACCGTCTTCGTTGGAAGGTTCACCGTTAGTTTCGGCAACACCAGGCAATGCAATGGGAATTGTTGTGACCCAAATCGGGATGAGATGCTCACCGAGACTACGTAACGTACGTTGACAATTGCTTGCCCAATGCCGCTTACAGGCATGTTGATTTTCACTCGGTTGAGCGATAAACGTTGGCACAACGATTCGGAAACGAAACTTGACTGCGAGCCGCTGTCTAGGAGTGCACGAGCGATTTGACTGTGTCCGAGGTTATCGTGGATATTCACTAGTGCGGTGTACAAAATCACTGTATTTTCACCAACATTTGCTGGTGCGACGGTTTGACAGGCGGTGAAAGGAGGTGTGACTATTTCCGACGGGGGCAGGCGAGGCGCAAATACCGACGGCGACGACAGCGGGTACGCACGATTGACCGAAGTGACATCCGGGCCACTATTGAACGGAACCGGAGGAGAATGCGACAGATTGGGATTTGTTTCATGCATTGGGAATTCAGTCTGTTGACTGTGTGGTGGAGCTCCACCCGTCATCAAGGAGGCGGACGACGGGAGATGAAGCAAAGTGTGGTGCTTCTTTTGGCAATACTTGCAGCACCCACTGGTACAGTTTCTTGCTTGATGGGATGCTTTGATGCAATTGATGCATAGGTTGTTCCGTTTAACTAAATCGAAACGTTGATGCGGAGTTTGATCACGAAAGACCTCGCATTGGAACAGAAAATGCGCTTGTTTGCACGCAGCGCATTTAGGAGTTTGTTCTGTGGCCGAATGGGCCAACACTTGTCGTGACTTCGTAGGCTTGACCTCCATCGACGGTGTACAAACTAATTGGGAGAGCTTGAGGGACTGCAGTGTGCGTGAGTGATCATGGATAAACTTTATGAGATCGTCGTACGAAGGACGCTGGGTTTTGTCACGGTTATTTTCCCACTGTTTCTGTGAGGTGGCATCCATACGACTGAAAAGGAGCTCCACCAACACAGAATCCCAATGCTGCGCCTTGGTTTCTAGAGAGTCCAAGATTTTCACGTGTTTCTCGAACTCATCTGCCAGTTCAGAAAGGCCAGAAGCGGACTCATTCCGCAGCGGAGAAACGGAAAAAAGCGCAGAGATGTGTTGCTTGATCAACAAATTCTTGTCCTCGTAACGATCCGTTATCAACTTCCACGCAACAGTGTAGCTGTACGTAGAAACGGCAAGAGAAGAGATGATACGAGCAGCATCCCCTTTCAACGAAGCTCGAAGATAATGTAGCTTCTGAATGTTTGTTAATTGGTAGTTGTCATGGATCATGGATTTAAACAAGTCATGAAAGCCAGACCTATCTTCAGGGTTCCCATCAAATTCTGGGATTTTTAGCTCTGGGAGGCGCACACCAGAGGAAGGGAGCATAATCTGCTGTTGTTGTACGGGAGCAGGTGGATTGGCTTGGGTAGGAGCTGGAAGCTTTCTCGTAAGTGAACCCTTCAATCGATAGTACAAGTTCTGAAACTCGGCACGAGTTTCAGCGGCGCCAGGGTCTTCACCGCAAAGTGCTTCAAGCTCCATATCAACGTGTTCCAGCTCATCCCATAACTTGTCCAAACGATCAAGCCGAAATGGAATCTCGGCTGCTTGCGAAACATCATAATTTTGGTCAAATTCGCGAATCAATTGCGCTGATTGCAGTAGGTTGCCCCGCTTGGCAGCCAGTTGTTTCAACTGCTTGGCTTTCTTGCTCCGCGTGGCGGTAGCCATTCTGCCTCAACAAAGAAAAAGAGGTCACTCACCTGCTTCGACCGTACTTAACCTTTCGATCGTTACGACGTGGACTTGTTGGAGGAAATCTTCTCGGCGATACTGCGACGATGGTTGGCCAAACGGGTACTTTGACGACGGCACTCTGGGGCGGTCCAAATCCTATGCAGTCCAAAACAGCGACAGCAGCAACCGGTAATTAATTATCTCCAAAAGCACAACACTCTTTGCGGGAGCGGCGTGGCAATCTTCCTCACAATAGTCGCACTAACAATGTAGAACCTCAGCGTGAGGAGAAACAATAACTAAACGGTAGCTTCTATTGTACTGGGCAGATACACGCAGTGAAAGCACACGCGGGACGGTTCGAATGGTTATAAATGTTCGCGACGAATTGATTGTTCCGTTGGAACGCAATCACTGTCCGGGATGTGTTCCCGGGTTTCGGCACCAAATGTTCTTGCTTGATTGCCCGAATCTGGCCGGCACGACGACAAAGGCGAACTTGTGTACAACGGCGAAATTGTGGTTTCAATCACTGGGCGGACTGGCGCGAACCGAGATAGTTTTCGGACGAGAGTGCAGAAACTGGTCTGTGTTGCTTTGTAGTTCTTAGGTAACTGATTTATTTGTCGTGTTCAGTGTGAGGTGAAGGGTAATCAATTTGGGATGTATATAGATGTATAAGTGTAGAAGCGGTGTTCTGGGTGGTGGGTATTTTTAAGTTAATTTATAATTCATTTTGTTTGTATAATTTGCTCGTAATTTAGTGCTTTCATGTTAGTACTATAAGTTCTGGGTCGCAACAATATAAATAGAAGTTAATAAACCCTCGCGTGTACAACACGTATTTCAGTACCGTAAAAATATATGTACTCTGTTCACGCAATAAAAAAGTTTTATAAATTGAAGTCCGCCGCGTTATTTTAAAGTGTGTCCGAAGGAACCTGAAGAAAGTAGTGTCGCGCGAACATTTGGTCCTTCGAACCGGATTTACGGTGAAGGTTTACGGACACCCGGTGGACAATTGTCGCGAAATTGATTGTGTGAAGATAGCGATGGACGACGATCCATAGTTAGACTATTGTGACGGTGTGAATAAGTGACCCGGTGAATAGTGTCACCATTTTTTTACGCTAGTGATTCGCCATCGCGAGCAGGACTTCGTGCCAAAGGAGCCATCGTGAAATTGCACTTGATTGGCAGTGTGCAGCCATTTGGAAGCTGCATCAAGGAAAGGATCGGACCAGGAACAAGTCATCTTGAGGCTGTAGGAAACTGGATGTAGACAGCGACTCGTGTAATTCGGAGCCAAAGGAAGTTCAGGGAGTAGTGCATGTTGGTGGCGTGTTGCATGAGACGCTTTCAAAACTCTGTGGCTGATTTTGTAATAAATTATGAAATGCATGTGAGTCCATCTTTATTTATAAGCAGTAGCCTTGTTGTCCGCTCGCCATAAGTCTCGATTGATCTAAATTTTCGCTGGTTGTCGGCTTGTTGGTTCTCCCAAGGTTGGTCCTCTTGCTGCAGTCAAATTGGCCAGGTCGATCGTCAGTCAAGGCATAAGGTCCGGTGGGTGGTACGGTGAGTCGATCGGTAGTGCATTGTGGTGTGTGGCAGTGCAGTGCAATGAGATTGCAGATTGCAGAGAAGTGAATCCTGTAATCACATAGTGTGAATTTTAACACTCTGAATACGGTGGGTAAAAAACTTTACGCCGACTACGAAGCCTCCGAAAAACGTGTAACGGCAAGTTTGCAGTGGCACAACTTAGCCATTTCTTAATGAATTTCAAAAATTGTGGTACCTTTAGAATTCCTAGGGTTTCTAGATGATTTTGATTGCAAAAAACTTGAAAATAGAGTCGTCTACTTTTTTAAAAAGCGAAAAGAGTTGTTACACGTTTTTTTTGAAAAGTGTGTTTGTAGGGTTTTGCAAGTGGCGCAAGATCTGTAATTTAGATTAATGGGCACAAATGTTCACAATTAGCCAGAATACAGTCATGGTTCCTATATATGGATCAACAACGGAACGGTCCTCGAAAAATCCGGAACATCCGTAAAAATGGTCAATCCATGATCCTGATCCTAGAGATCTGCGGTTTTTTTGAAAACATTAGGAACTGTGATATAAACAAATATTTGGGGTCGTGACATAAAATGTACCTGGATGGACATGGGACCATCCTCCGGAAGATCCGGAACATCCGTAAAAGTGGACAATCCATGAAACTGATCCTAGAGCTCCGTGTTTTTTTAACATTAGGATCTGTGATATAAAAATGAATTTGGGCCATGGACCCAGATGGCCATGGGACCGTCCTCCGGAAGATCCGGAACATCCGTCAACGTGGACAATCCATGAAACTGATACTAGAGCTCCGTGTTTTTTTTTGTTAACATTAGGATCTATGATATAAGAATGAATTTGGGCCATGGACCCAGATAGCCATGGGACCGTCCTCCGGAAGATCCGGAACATCCGTAAAAGTAGTAAATCCACGATCCTGATCATAGAGCTCCGTTGTTTTCTTGAAAACATTAGGAACTGTGATGATAGAAAGAATTTGGGCTTGTGACATAAACATGAACCTGGATGTCTATAGTACCGTCCTCCGGAAGATCCGGAACATCCGTAAAAGTGATCAATCCATGAAACTGATCCTAGAGCTCCGCAGTTTTTGAAAAAAAAAAAACACTAAGAACTGAGATGATGGAATGAATTTGGGGTCGTGACATAAACATGGACCCAGATGGCCATCGGACCGTCCTCCGCAAGATCCGAAAATTCCGTAAAAGTGGTCATTGTATGAAACTGACCCCAGAGCTCCACGGTTTTTTTCGAAATCACTTGGAACTGTCATATATAAATTAATTTGCGGTCGTGACATAAACATGTACCTAAAAGGCCATGGAACCATCCTCCGCAAGATCTAGAACATCTTTAAAAATGGTCAATCCTTGAAACTGATCCTAGAGTTCTACGGTTTTTTCGAAAGCATGTGGAACTGCGATATAAGAAAGAATTCGGGGTCATGACATAAACACGTACCGGAGACGAACCAGCCCAGGGCTGAAAGTCTCCTTAATAAAGATAAAAAAAAACACGGACCTGGATGGCCATAGGACCGTCCTCCGGAAGATACGGAACATCCGTAAAAGTGATCCAGAGGTTTCTTATATCACAGTGTTTAAAAAAGAACTGCAGAGCTCTAGGATTAGTTTCACAGTATGATAAATTTACGGATGTTCCGGATCTTTTGGAGGACAGTCTCATGGCCATCCGGATCCATGTTTATGTCACGACCCTAAATTCTATCTTAAATCGCAGTTCCAAGAGTTTTCGAAAAAAAACCACGGTTTTTTCACAGTTTCATCGATGATCCACTTTTACGGATGATCAGGATCTTCTGGAGGACGTTCCAATGGCCATCCAGGTTCATTTTTACAGATCTTCCGGAGGACTGTCCCATGGTCATTCGGTTCCATGTTTATGTTAAGACTCCAAATTCATTCTAATATCACAGTTCCACGGCTTTTCGTTCTTGGATCAATTTTATGGCTTGCAATCGGGCTAAGGCCTTGTTGTCCTCTGCTGTCCGAAGAAGTCGTCTCCACTCTATTAGATCCATGGCCAGACTTTGCCAGCCTCGTAGTCTGCGAAGGGTCCGCAGGTCACCTTCTACTTGGTCGATCCACCTTGCCCGCTGCGCGCCTCTTCTTCTTGTTCCTGTTCGGGCGCTTTCGAGAACCATTTTCACTGGGTCGTCGTGCGACATTCTTACGACATGCCCAGCCTACCGTAGTCGCCCAATTTTTGCAATGTGAACGATGGATGGTTCTCCCAACAGCTGGTGCAATTCTTGGTTCATTCGCTTCCTCCACGTTCCGTCATCCAAGGGCGCGTTTGTCCTCCACGAGCATAGTCACGGTCTCGTGGCAGTAGACGACCACCGGTCTAATCAGCGTCTTTTAGATAGTCAACTTCGTGGCGAATTTTATTCGACCAGAGCGACCTCCGGAGTCCAAAGTAGGCACGATTCTCTGCCATAATGCGTCTTTGAAATTCTCTGCTGGTATCATTTTCGACGGTCACCAGTGAGCCTAAATACACGAACTCATCGACCACCTCGATTTCGTCACCGTCCATCTGAACTTGGGGTGGGAGGCTAACATTGTCTTCCCTAGAACCTTTTCCTATCATGTATTTTGTGTTTAATGCGTTGATGGCAAGTCCAATCCACCTAGCTTCAGCCTTTAGTCTGATGTACGTTTCGGCCTTTGTCTCAAAGTTCCGTGCCATAATGTCGATGTCATCGGTAAAGCCAAGAAGCTGTCTTGATACTCGTGTCTATCCCAACTCTTCTGATCACACCTTCTAACGCGATGTTGAACAGCAGACACGAAAGTCCATCACTTTGCCGTAACCCCCTTCGAGATTCAAAGGGACTCGAGAGTGTCCCCGATACTCGAACAACGCACATCACTCGATCCATCGTTGCCTTGACCAATCGCGTCAGTTTTTCTGGAAATCCGTACTCGTGCATAATCTACCATAGCTGATCTCGATCGATTGTGTCGTATGCGGATTTGAAATCCATGAACAAATTATGTGTAAGCAAGTTGCATTTGTGGCATTTCTGCAGAACCTGCCGAATCGCGAATATGAACCCATGAATTCCTGCTGGTATTGCCCAAGAAATCTCTTGCAAATGGTGACAGGCGGCGGCGTAAAATTTGGGAGAGTACCTTGTAAGCGGTGCTCAGCAGTGTGATCGCGCGGTAGTTGCAGCAATTCAACTTGTCGCCCTTTTTGTAGATTGGGCATACAACACCTTGCTTAACTCCTCCGGTAATATCCCCTCCTCTCAAATCTTGGCAATTACCCAGTGCAGCGCTCTAGCCAGTGCTTCACCACCGTATTTTAATAGCTCACTTGGTTGTTGATCTACACCAGTTGCTTTGTTGTTCTTCAGTCGACCGATCTCCTCCTCAACTTCTTGAAGATCAGGGGCCGGTAGCCTGTCGTCTTCTGCGCGTGCTCCAAGGTCTGTTGCCGTGCCACCTTCGTTTTCTGCTGCATCACCGTTGAGGTGCTCGTCATAGTAATGCTTCCACCCCTCAATTTTATAGACTGACCATTTTACGGATGTTGTTGATCTTCCGGACGACGGTCCCATGGCTATCTAGGTACATGTTTGAGTCACGATCACAAATTCATTCTTATATCACAGTTCCTAATATTTTTGGAAAAAAACTGCGGAGCTCTAGGATCAGTTTCATTGATTGACCTCTTTTACGGATGTTCTGGACTTACCAGAGGATAGTCCCATGGCCATTTGGGTCCATGTTTATGTCATGATCCCAAAATATTTCTTATATCGCAGTTCAACATGCTTTCGAAAAACCGAAGAACTCTAGGATCAGTTTCGAGGGTTGACCATTTTTAAAGATGTTCTAGATCTTGCGAAGGACGGTCCCTTGGCCTTCTGGGTACATGTTTATGTCACGACTGCAAATTAATTTATATATGACAGTTCCAAGTGTTTTCGAAAAAAACCGTGGAGCTCTAGGATCAGTTCCATACATTGACCACTTTTACGGATTTTTCTGATCTTTCGGAGGACATTTCGATGGCCATCTGGGTCCATGTTTATGTCACGATCCCAAAATCATTCTAATATCACAGTTCCTAACGTTTTCAAGAAAACCACGGAGCTCTCGGATCAGTTCGGATGTTCCGGATCTTCCAGAGGACGATCTCATGGCCATCAAGGTCCATGTTTAGGTCACGACCCCAAATTCATTCTATCATCTCAGTTCTTAGTGTTTTTTTTTCAAAAACTGCGGAATTTTTCGGATCTTCTGGAGGACGTTCCGATGGCCATCTGGGTCCATGTTTATGTCACGATCCCAAATTCATTCTAATATCACAGTTCCTAACGTTTTCAAGAAAACCACGGAGCTCTAGGATCAGTTTCGTGAATTTTCCACTTTCACGAATGTTCCGGATCTTTCGGAGGACGGTCCCATGGACATCCAGGTTCATGTTTATGTCACAAGCCTAAATTCTTTCTAACATCACAGTTCTTAATGTTTTCAAGAAAACCACGGAGCTCTAGGATCAGGATCGTGGATTTACCACTTTTACGGATGTTCCGGATCTTCCGCTGGGCTTAGCTAATATGGCCATCTTGGTCCATGACCCAAATTCATTCTTATATCACAGATCCTAATGTTGAAAAAAAACACGGAGCTCTAGGATCAGTTTCATGGATTGTCCACTTTGACGGATGTTCCGGATCTTCCGGAGGACGGTCCCATGGCCATCCAGGTACATTTTATGTCACGACCCCAAATATTTGTTTATATCACAGTTCCTAAAGTTTTCAAAAAAAACCGCAGAGCTCTAGGATCAGGATCATGGATTGACCATTTTTACGGATGTTCCGGATTTTTCGAGGACCGTTCCGTTGTGTCCAGGATCCATATATAGGAACCATGACTGTATTCTGGCTAATTGTGAACATTTGTGCCCATTAATCTAAGTTACAGATCTTGCGCCACTTGCAAAACCCTACAAACACACTTTTCAAAAAAACGTGTAACAACTCTTTTCGCTTTTTAAAAAAGTAGACGACTCTATTTTCAAGTTTTTTGCGATCAAAACCATCTAGAAACCCTAGGAATTCTAAAGGTACCACAATTTTTGAAACTCATTAAGAAATGGCTAAGTTGTGTCATTGCAAACTTGCCGTTACACGTTTTTCGGAGGCATCGTATTCGGAGTGTTAAATTATTAGTGCAGTGCTACTACTTTCAAGCAGAAAGGGATGCTCGTCAGATTACCGTGCGTCCCGAAGCGTTGAAGAATATTTTTACGAAATTCGTCCAGACCCGCGAAAAAATTGAGTTGCTGCTTGAAGATGTCCACGAAAAAGAAGAAGAGGAAGTAAAAGATGATGGAAAGCAACAGGAAAACGATCAGCTCATGCAGGATTTCGAGGATCGTTATTACGTTTTGAAGGCAGATCTGCTGGATTTCCAATCGATTCGAACCTGTGAGACGGCAGTTTCTGGAAACCAGCAATCGGGCGTGCAAGCCGCAGCTCCATTCGCAAGAGTAAAGCTGCCTGAAATTACCTTCATCTAGTGGAAGGGTTCACGAATGGGTGCCGTATCGTGACAGCTTTCGGAGTCTCATACACAACAGTACTCTACTCTCGGAAATCGACAAGTTCACCTATCTTAGGTCTTCTTTGTCCGGTGATGCGCTACAGGAACTACACGCAATAGAGCTTTCTGCCGCCAATTACGTTGTAGCGTGGAAGGCGTTAGAGAGTCGCTACGAGAATAAGAAGTTGATCGTAAAAGCTCATCTCGACGCTCTATTCGCGGTGGAAGGCCTCAAAAGAGAAACAAACGAAGGGCTCAACCAGTTGATTGGAGACTTTGAGAAAAATATTCAGATGCTAGAAAAACGTGCCGACTGGAGTACCATCCTGGCCTACATGGTGTGTTGCAGATTGGATTCGGCCACAATCCGGCATTGGGAAACACATCATAACAGCAAAGAAGTCGCCAAGTATGCAGATTTGATGGTGTTTCTCAAGGGTCCTGCAATCAATCGCTCCAGCCAAATCTGCCAGCTCGAGTCCACGGATACCACGCATCGCAGTTTGCCACACAGCCATGAAATCAGCTGGAAAATGTCATTTTTGCAGTAAACCACGTCACTCAGTATTCCAGTGCATTCGATTTCAACGGATGAAGTTGGCGGAGAGAAATGAGGCTGTCACCAAGAACAAACTTTGTCGGAACTGTTTGTATCCTGGGCATATCGCCGGAAACTGCGAGAAGGGAACGTGCCGCCATTGTCATCAGAAGCATCACACTTGGTTGCACAGTGATCAATCTAGATCCTCCGTTCCACCCTCGCAGTCATGACCTTCGACAGCAAACCAACAATCTGGACAGCCACAATCCAGCCCAGCAAACTCGAACCATCAGACACGGACCACTAACACTGCAAACTCACAAGACTCGGACACTCAGCCAGCCACAGAACACGCCACCACAAGCCAAACACATGTAGCTCTCCCCATCACACCTACACAAAACATCGTTCTCTCGACCGCAATGGTCAGCATTAAGGATCACTATGGCAATATTGTGCTTGCACGAGCCTTGATCGATTCGTGTTCACAGCACTGCCTTATGACAAAGAGTTTCGCTAGCAAGCTCAAGCTAGAAGAAACACCAGTCTTTCTGTCAATCCAAGGTATTGGACAATCTCAAGCCGTTTCGACGAAGTTAGTCAGTGCTGTAGTGGGTCCAAGATCGCAAGATATTTCATCATTCACTGAAGAGCTGCAGTTCCACGTGTTGCCGAAGCTAACTGTGTCACTTCCAACCGCAAGTTTCCGCATCAGCGTCGTTTTTCGATGAATCCTGAACTGAAAAGGCAGTACGTGGATTTCATGCACGAATATTTACCCATGGGTCATATGCAGGAAATTTTTGAAGAAGATACGAGTGCCCCGACTTGCCTCACCACGCCGTTTTTAAGGCTGACAGCACGATGACGAAGCTGCGAGTAGTATTCGACACTTCTTGCAAAACGTCCAGTGGCATTTCACTCAACGATGGACTAATGGTGGACCCGTAGTTCAAGACATGATAGTGGATATCACTCTCCGTTTCCGTACACATCGATTTGCTCTTGTAGGAGGCGTTGCCAAAATGTATCGGATGGTGCTGCAGAGTTTACTGGATCGTCTGCTGCATAAAATCGTCTGGAGAGATAGCGTCACAGAACCCATTCGGACATTCGTTCTCAATACAGTTACCAACGGCACTGCATCAGCACCTTACTTGGCTACGAAATGTCTGCAACGCTTGGCCGATGAAGGCAAGGATTCGCACCCAGCTGCTGCAAAGGTCCTTAGAAAGGACTTCTACGTGGATGATATGTTGTCAGGCGTAGATGACATTGAGGAAGGGAAGGTGCTCATCAAGGAAATGATAGAGTTACTGCAATCAGCTGGATTTTTGTTACGAAAGTGGAATTCTAACAGCAAGGAATTGCTGTCAGAGGTGCCGGAGGATTTGAGGGACGAACGCTCGATTTTAGAATTGGATTCTTCGAGCTCGTCTGTGAAAACGCTGGGTTTGCCGCCAAGCACAGATTCCTTTCGATTCAGTTCGCCGATGTGGAATGAGTCAACGGAGATAACGAAGCGTTGTGTCCTATCAGATGCCTCCCGACTGTTTGACCCTTTGGAACTGGTAAGACCAGTAATAACTCAGGCGAAGATCTTTCTGCAGGATCTCTGGAAGCAAGACTGTGGATGGGATGATCCACTCGAACTGCAGCTACAGGAGTACTGGCGAGAGTACAGGCGGAACTTAGCAAGCTTAGACGGGATATCAGTACCTCGATGGATTGCAATAAGCCGTATCGTCGTAGCAGTAGAGCTGCATGGCTTCTGTGACGCCTCAAACAAAGCGTACGGAGCATGCGTATACGTTCGCACTACAGCTATAGATGGAAGCGTGGCAGTACATCTTCTGACCTCCAAATCTCGAGTAGCTCCACTCGAAAATTTGAAGAAAAATAAGAAATCATTTTCGACTCCTCGCCTGGAACTATCGTCCGCATTGCTCCTAGCGCACCTCTACGAGAAAATCGTCAACAGCATCAACGTTACTGCCAAATGTTTTTTTTTTTGGGCAGACTCAACCATCGTCATTTGCTGGCTTTCGTCGTCGCCATCTAGATGGAAGTAATTTGTGGCAAACCGTGTTTCCGAAATCCAACACATAACGAAGGGAGGAATTTGGAATCACGTCGCAGGAGAGGAGAATCCTGCGGATATTATTTCAAGAGGCATGACCCCAGTGCAGCTGCAGTGCGAACCACGCTGGTTTCACGGGCCTTGCTGGCTGAAGTTAGATCAGCAGTACTGGCCCAAAGTGCTAGAAATCGATGAGAACAAGTTCAACATGGCGGATCTGGAGAGTAAAGCCATTGCAGCAGCCCTTCCAACCGTCAGTCCGAGTGAAATTTTCCGCCTTCGATCGTCTCTGGTAGATCTTGTGCGACTGACTGTCTATATTCAACGGTTTAAATGGAATTCGTCTCCAGTGAATCAACTCTGCAGGAAAGTGGGCTGCATCACTTCCCATGAGTACGGCGATGCGATCAAGGCTCTCGTGAAATTGTCTCAGCAAGAAAGTTTTCCCCAGGAACTAGCAGACCTTTTCAAGAGTGGTCAGGTGCAAGATTCGTCCAGAATATCTCCGCTCAATCCGCAACTTGCTGAAGGCTTACTCTGCGTTGGCGGCCGGCTGAAGAACGCTGCTGTATCGGAGCGTTGGAAACATCCCTACATCCTGGATCATCGGCATCCCTTCGCACGACCAGTTGTAGCTTACTATCATCAGAAGCATTTCCATGCCGGTCAGCAACAAGTAGTTTCCAACGTTCGAGAGCAGTTCTGGCCTACAAGCATCAGGAAACTGACTAGACAAGTCACCTACCTTCCGAGCGAGTAACGCCATGCTTCCCATTCCAGAAGGTTGGTGTCGACTACTGCGGACCGTTTTACGTAGTCTACCCTCAGCGTCGAGTGCATCCGATCAAGTGCTTTGTGGGCAGTGTTCGTATGCTTGGTTACAAAGGCAGTGCATCTGGAGCTATCAGCGGATCTCACTACTCAAGCGTTCCTGGCTGCGTTGAGGAGGTTCACATCTCGTCGTGGAAAACCGTCTCTCATCATGTGTGATAATGCGAAGAACTTTGTTGGCTCCAAGAGGGAATTGGATGAACTCGCACGGTTGTTCGACAGCCAACAGTTCAAAGAAGCAGTATTACGACATACGGCAGAGGACAGAATCGAGCTTCGTTTCATTCCGGCACGATCACCGAACTTCGGAGGGCTTTGGGAATCAGCGGTTAAATCATTCAAGATCCTGTTCAAACGAACGATTGGCACCCGCAGCCTGGTATACGACCAGATGCAGACCGTGCTGGCTCAGACGGAAGCAATCCTGAATTCCCGACCCCTGACACCCATTAGCAACGATCCAGACGACTTCTAAGCGCTTACACCAGGACATTTCTTGATTCAGCGGCCATTCCAGAGCCCAATCTCTGTGCAATTCCCGAAAACAGACTTTCAGCTTGGCAAATGGTGCAAGCATTTACCCAGAAACTGTGGAAGAAATGGTCGGAGCAGTATTTGTCAAATCTCCACAACAGGACAAAATGGACGCGTCAGAGGAACAACATAGCAATTGGAACTATGGTTGTTCTCAAGGAGGAGAATCTCCCACCGTTGAAGTGGCAGCTGGCACGGGTGACAGAGGTTCACCCAGGATCTGACGGAAATATCCGAGTTGCAACCGTCCGGACCAAGGAAGGCAGTTACAGGCGAGCGATCTCAAAGATCTGTGTACTGCCAATCAGAGACAATCTTTCTATGTCAGAAGAGGAGAACTAGGACTCCTCCAACGGCGGAGGTCGAGAGGCCTCCGCACACCCAGTTAAGTTATGCATTATTTCAAATTTCTAAAAAGTAATCGCTCAACCCAAAACACCCGACACTCTTTCGCCAAATTTGAGTTGTCTAGCGTCCAATTTCGAGGTAATATGTGTCATTTTCGGTGGTGGTATTTGCATGTGCATCCAGTCTTGTTGAGGTCCAGTCAAGACGGTGTTTAGCAATGGTGCTAACCGTCAAATTTATGTTCAGCTCGATTCGAAATTCACACTCCCAAACACGTTTGATATTTGGAGGTACGACCAAACAGTGACAGTAATCCTGAGGAAGAAGTGCGCAAATTCGTCCTCCTGGTTCTACGCTGTGATCGCCAGCAGGTATGGCCAACCTGCTTGTACTTTCTCAGCAATGTGGGTCCAACATCACAGTCACCGTAGTTCAATCGTCGAATGTCAGAACGTCGTCTCGAATCGAATCGTACGCAGAGGGATGGTCGACGCCACACGGGCGTCCACCGGAGGCCTTAGGGCCTCCGTCCAGGCAAGTTGTTTTGATTTTCAGTAGTTCTATTGAAAAAGCACCCTCTTATTTTATTCAGAGATCACATCGGACGCACCGTGCGGATCGGCCGTGAACATCGTCACGCACCGCACGGATCACTTCAGTATCGCATCAGCTAGAACATCAACCACCGAAACCACACGTACCAAACCACGGAAAGTAAGCGGGGACCCAAATCACCCGATATTAATGTTCGGTTTAACGGAACCACAATCCAAGGCATCGTTCCTGTTGAGCCGTCGATCGGATGAAAGAATAGTTCCAATCCTAGAAGGAAAACATCACCAACAACACGTATTTCAGTACCGTAAAAATATATGTACTCTGTTCGCGTAATAAAATAGTTTTATAAATTAAAGTCCACCGCGTTATTTAAAGTGTGTCCCAAGGAACCTGAAGAAAGTAGTGTCTCGCGAACACCATTGATTATTGGCCAAGTTATTAGCATTTAAAGTCTGACAAATTTTCGTTGCATTTCCCTGAATTCTCACGCAACACGAGAAAAGGGCCTATCATTGTTGACCGATTCTCTTCATCGATTTTCTTTTTCGCGAATAAACCGACTGCAAATTAATTTCGTATTGAGTGTGTTGTTTCAGGCGCAAGCTAACATCATCTTCTGTCGAACTGTGCTGCAAGCTTAGCGAGAAATTCGTTTATGTTGCCGTGGTAAACCAAAGAGAAAGTCGATGAAGAGAATCGATCAACGAGGATAGGTCCTTTTCAAATGTTACGCGAGAATTGGCATCCTTCCCGAAAGACGTAGTCCTACGTCAAAATCGAATGGACAAAAGGTCGAATTATGAGAAGTGGGACAAATGATCGAAACGTTACAAATTGGACAAAAAGACAAGATCGAATAGCCCAAAGAGGACAAAAGATCGAATGGACAAATGATTGAATGGTCCAAAAGGGAGCAAAGGTCGAATGGACAAAATTTCGAATGGCATAAAAACGGAAATCATGCAAACATGCACAGTTCCTTAGAATAATATTGTTTGGTTTTGGTTTATTCCATTATCATCATTTCTCCTTCTATAAATCTCTGCTCGTTCTTTCCTCGGGTTGAATTTAAAATATTCCACCTTTTCCTGATTTGCTCCTGTTTCTGATTGCCACGTCGTCCGTGTTGGGATGGCAACCACTGCTCGGTTTGCCCCCACCAAACTACGGCACTGCGTAGAGGAAAAACGTCACTTTGTTTACTTTTGCTTTTCTCATTCCAAACACTTTTCTCGCAGAATACACACGTTGTTATTTGTAACCTAAAAAGTAGTTCGCGTTTCTTTCTCCTGGTCCATCCGAAATCCCATTAGGTTATGGGCCCAGGACATTTCGGTGCCGCGGAAAAAGTTTAATCGTCGTCGCGAAGATGGAGGAAGTGAAGAGTGATCGTTTTCTCGTTGCCTTGTTCGATGGGACAAATTACGCCGCGTGGAAGTTCCGCGTCCAAGTGCTTTTGGAGGAGCACGAGCTGTGGGACTGTGTGCAAACGGAGCTTGACGATTTGGTCGAGTTGGCAGAGCGAGACAACGATACTGCTGCACAGCGAACGGAGAAAAATGCGTTGCGCGAGAAGAGGAAGAAAAGAGAGCGGAAGTGCAAATCAATGCTGGTTTCCCGAATTCATGACTCCCAGCTGGAGTACGTCCAGGACAAGGCCACTCCGAAGCAGGTCTGGGATGCACTCAAGCGCGTCTTCGAAAGGAAGAGCATCGCCAGTCGGATGCACCTCAAACGTCAAATGCTGAGCATGCGATTCGACGGTGGGCGACTGCAGGACCACTTCCTTCGGTTCGACAAGCTGCTGCGTGAATACCGGGGAACCGGCGTGGCCATGGAAGATCTGGATGCAGTGTGCCATTTGCTGCTGACTCTAGGTCCGGCGTACTCCACAGTCGTCACCGCCCTCGAGACGATGCCGGAGGAAAACCTGACAATGGAATTTGTCAAGTGTCGTTTACTCGACGAGGAAACGAAGCAAAAGAGTGTTGATTCGGAGAAGTTTCCCTCCAACAGTGATACCGCTGCATTTTCCGGGACGAAGCAGCAGAAGAAGATTCGGTGTTTCCGGTGCAAAAAGGAAGGGCATAAGCTAGCTGACTGCCCGGAGAAGAAGAAGCCGTCTGAACAGAAAGGACATCGCAGTTCGAAAGCGAACGTTGCCGAGTCGGCTGACCGGGATCGGGATGGTGTATGTTTCGTCGGTGTCAGTGGCTGTGGTGCATCGCAGCAGGCACGACGATCGAAATGGTTCATCGATTCCGGCGCGTCAGATCATCTGGTTCGGGACAAAGAGCTCTTCACGGAACTTCATCGACTGGAAAACCCGGTCGAAATTGCTGTTGCTAAGGACGGCGAGTCCATCGTCGCAGAGCACAGTGGAACAGTGAAAGTGATGTCGATTGCCGATGGCAGAAACATTGAGTGCACCGTGAAAAACGTACTGTTTATACCGCAACTTCGATACAATTTGTTTTCGGTTTCGCGTGTTGAGAAAGCTGGCATGAGTGTCGTGTTCGAGCGGGGAAAAGCGCTGATCTATCGCGATTCCGAAATTGTGGCCAGTGGAAAACGTTGTGATTCGCTGTACGAGCTGGATTTTGAACCGATCGGGAAAAGTGAAAACGAAAAAGCGCTGTCGTGCGGTCGGGTTCCGAAAGATTTCGAGCTATGGCATCGTCGGTTCGGCCATATATCCGCGAAGAATCTCGAAGTGCTCATGCGGAACGACATGGTGTCGGGACTGAAAGTTGACAATGACAAGAAACAGAGTGGATCGATTACGTGTGAGCCGTGTATCGCCGGGAAGTTGGCTCGGAAGCCGTTTTCGCGGAGTGAAGAGAGACGTTCGTCGCGGGTGCTCGAACTGATTCACTCGGACGTGTGTGGCCCCGTGACGCCCGTTGGATTGTACGGTTCAAGGTTCTTCGTCACCTTCATCGACGACTGGACGCACTTCACAGTCGTGTTTCTGATGGAGTCGAAGAGAGAGGTGCTGCGCTGTTTCGAACAGTATGAGGCCATGGTGACGGCCAAATTCGGCAAGCAAATTTCTCGGCTACGGTGTGACAACGGAGGTGAGTACACCGGCAAACATTTTAAAAAATTCTGTGCAAATAAAGGTATCCAGATGGAACTGACGGTGGCCTACACCCCTGAGCAGAACGGTGTCAGCGAGCGGATGAGCCGTACGCTCGTTGAGAAAGCCAGGGCAATGTTAGTGGATTCGGGCGTAAGCAAGGAGTTCTGGGGCCAGGCCGTGCAGACAGCTGCCTACTTGCTGAACAGGAGTCCCACCTGTGCGGTGCAGACGAAGAAGACGCCGTTCGAGTTGTGGGAAGATAAGAAACCGGACGTTTCGAAACTGAGAGTGTTTGGGTGTTCCGTGTTCGTGCACGTACCGTCGCAGCTTAGGAAGAAGTTGGACTCTAAATCGTGGCGCGGCATTTTTCTCGGTTATTCTCCCAATGGTTACAGAGTTTGGGATCCGGTAAAGCGCCGGATTGTGACCGCTCGAGATGTGGTTTTTGTGGAGACGGATATCGGGCAAGAGGAGCAGCCCAAGCCTGTTGCTGGTGATCAGTTCGTCGAGATTTCGTCGAGTCCAGTTCCGGAGAGCGAAGAAGAAGAAGCTGACGGTGGTGGTGATGCTGAGTCGTCTGAGGAAGAGTATGAAAGCTTGTCTGAAGAATCTTCCGGTGAATCCAGTGAATCCGGGGATGAAACAGCGGATGTTAACCTGGAGGATGGTAGACCGCAACGAGATCGTGCTCCACCGGCATGGCATAGAGACTTTGAGTTTGAGTACGCTGGATTCGCCTTAAACGCAATGAGTTACGTCGACAACATTCCGGGTTCGATTGCTGAGCTGAAACGGCGTGACGATTGGGGCAACTGGAGATTAGCCATAGAAGAGGAAATGGATTCGCTGCGGCGGAACAACACGTGGACATTGACAGAGCTTCCCGCTGGTAGGAAGGCTGTGTCCTGTAAGTGGGTGTTTCGTATTAAGCGCGGGGATGGCGATCTACCTGACCGGTATAAGGCGAGACTGGTAGCCCGTGGCTTCAGTCAAAGGCAAGGCTTCGACTATACGGAAACCTACTCTCCGGTGGCGAAATTGGACACCCTTCGGACGGTTCTGGCGTTGGCGAATCGTGACCGTTTGCATGTTCACCAGATGGATGTGCGGACGGCGTTTTTGAATGGCACGCTTAGTGAGGAGATCTTCATGACCCAGCCGGATGGATTTCAGCAGGGGAAGAATCTGGTCTGCCGTTTAAATCGTTCCATTTACGGGCTCAAGCAAGCGTCCCGTGCCTGGAATCAGAGGTTTCACGAGTTCACCGAGAAGCTGGGATTGAAGCAGAGCGCCAATGATCAGTGCCTGTACACCATGGGCGAGGGACGAGAAAGGATCATCGTCATAGTGTACGTCGATGATGTTTTGATCGTCGGAGCGTCGTTGCAGACCGTGAAGGCAATTAAACGGAAGTTCAGCGAAGAATTTGAGATGACTGATGCTGGTGAGGTGAAGCAGTTTCTCGGGATGACGATCAAGAGGAACGTTGAAGCTGGAACCATGAAGATCAGCCAGACAGGGTATCTTGAGAGCTTGCTTCGCCGCTTCGACATGATGGAGTGCAAATCGATTTCGACTCCCATGGAGAATCGCCTGCGGTTGGAGAAAGGGGTAGAGGAGCGGAGGACAGATAAACCCTATCGAGAGCTGGTAGGGTGTTTGATGTATGCTTCGCTCACGGCTCGGCCTGACTTGTCTGCTGCCGTGAACTACTATAGCCAGTTCCAGGCCTGCCCGAATGAGGAACACTGGGTGCACCTCAAACGGGTTCTCAGATATGTGAAGGGGACGCTGGACTACGGACTGTTGTACAAAGCGGAGACGGAAGAGGAGCTGTTGCAGGTTTTCTCGGATGCGGACTGGGCAAATGACCTCATCGATCGGCGATCAGTCACAGGCTGTATTTTCAAGGTTTCGGGATGCACAGTCAGTTGGACGACAAGAAAACAGCACACGGTGTCGTTGTCATCTACCGAGGCGGAACTCGCGGCGCTGGTGACGGCTGCATGTCATACGCTGTGGATGAAACGACTTCTTCTGGATCTCGGGTACGAGCCCAATGGTCCTATAACGATTCTGGAAGATAACCAATCAACCATCAGAATTGCTGAGGATGCAAGAGACCATGGACGCCTGAAACATGTGGATACCAAGTATCACTTCTTGAGGGAGCTCATTCAACAAGCGGTGATTACAGTGGAGTTCGTTTGCTCATCGGACCAGCAGGCGGACATTATGACGAAGGCCCTACCTTCGGCATCCTTCAAGAAGCTGCGATCGGAGCTAGGTATTGGACCTTGCTGTGGTTGAGCAGGGGTGTTGGGATGGCAACCACTGCTCGGTTTGCCCCCACCAAACTACGGCACTGCGTAGAGGAAAAACGTCACTTTGTTTACTTTTGCTTTTCTCATTCCAAACACTTTTCTCGCAGAATACACACGTTGTTATTTGTAACCTAAAAAGTAGTTCGCGTTTCTTTCTCCTGGTCCATCCGAAATCCCATTAGTCCGAAGCTTTAATAAACGGAGGAACGACAACAGAGCTTTAATATAGTTTTATAGGTTCAATCAAAACGATGCGCAACCAAATGGTACTCGATTATGACGGTGTGGTTTGGGAAGAACGTTTATTTCATGAAAACAGTGATAACATTATTACTTTTTATTTGTACATTTTCAAAGGTTTTTCATGAAAAATAGGCGAAAAAAAAATGGCAGATTGTGAAAGTTATTTCCTATCGATTGGTGTCTTTGGATTTTAATTTCATATATACATGATAAAGTTATAAGCGTTCAAAACCTTACACCTTTTCGTGACGGTCGCAAGACGATGTCTACGTCAAAAAACCTAAGAAATCTATCGCACTTGCGCACGCTACAGTAAGTACGTGTGTTGGCACTAGAAACTGCCAATGAAATGAAATTGATTCATCACTCTTATTTCACCCTATCTAAGCTTTAACCACAATTTCTCCACCCCATTAGCCCAAACGAAAGAATTGAATTAAAGCAAACCCCACTAAAATGCCCATTCTATTCTTCTGCTTCATTACAGTCAGCTGCGATCACACGGCGCGTCAATCCGGAAGACAACAACGATAGAGAGAGAGAGAGAGAGAGTGTGTGTGTTGAAATCAGGACAAATTTCAATCTAATCAAATCCGCAGGGAATGCGGTGGTGGTCCGGAGGAGGAGGCAACCGAGCTAGAAAGAAACAATTTCTGATGTAAAAAGCGTCCGCGGTTTGACGGGCGCGTGAGGTAGAGTTAGAGAGTGAAAATTTTCGAGAGGAACAGACGAGCAGGGCAGCAGGAAAGCAGGGAGCAGAGTGGAGGTTTCCCCGTGCGGACCGCTGCCGGGAGCCGGGTGGCCGGGAGGACCGAGAGAGACATGAGTCTCCGAGGATTTATAGCAGTGCTTCTGGTCGGAATCAACGTTATTGCAGGTAGTAACTTTTCCATTAATTCTTCTTGAACCGTAATTCAATTAGGTCATGTCCGTCGTTTCTCGCATTTTACACGTCTTGTTTGAAATTTCCAGCCGGAACGTCGTTGCTGTTGGGATTACTGGTGGCAGGTGCTCGGCCAGTCGGGGCGAGCGAAGGTTTGGTCAGTCAGCTTCAAGAGCATCAACAGCAGCAGCAGCAACAACAACAACAGCCTCAATCACAGCAAGCGCTGGTGGTGGTAGAACCACCGCAGCTTGGCCTACTACGATCACCGCCGGCGGTGACTGAACCCACACCGAATGCTGCCGCGGATATCATCAACCTGGACCGGGATGGCGGAGTTAGTTTCATTCCACGGAAGGACTTTCGACCGCAGAGGGCGGTCCCGGCCGAGTACGCCGGGGCTTCGGCCATGCCACACTGCGAGTCGTTTACGATGGGTAACCCGGACCAGAAAATGCTGTACAGCCCGGGAGCTCCGGGAAACTACCCGAACAATAGCGACTGCGTCGTAGTGCTGGAGGCCCCGTTGGGGTCTCTGGTGAGGCTAGACTTTCGAGATCATTTCCATATCGAACCGTCGGAGGAGTGTAAATACGATTTTCTAGAGGTAGGTCGTCGTCGTCGTCATGGCTTGGCGCTCGCTCGCAGCCACCCTGGCCTTGATCTTTTGCCTGTGCTGTGTGAGAGCGTGAGCGCGGTGAGCGAGTGCAGCTGTACGATCGTCGGAAAATGTGAAAATCATCATCGTCATCGTGATCTTCTTTCTTTTCTTTTTTTCATTTCCCCCGCACAACAGATCCGAGACGGTGCCCACGGTTTCTCGACGCTGATTGGCAAGTACTGCGGTACGACCTACCCGCCGATGATCACCTCGAAGGACCGCTTCCTCTGGTTGCGCTTCCACTCGGACGAGAACATCGAGTACAACGGTTTCATCGTCGTCTACGAATACGTGCCAAGGCCGACGTCATGTAAGTTTGCGTTTGCGGGGACGGGGATGGGCACGGGGGATTCGTGATGCTAGAGTGTAGAGAAATTTTGGATGACATTTTCACAACACGAACGCGATCGCAGGGTAGGGGAACCGACTGTCGGACAATGGGGCTTCTGGGAAAAAATGTCACATCAGCGCAAACAAACAAACCGAAAGCAGTCTGCTAATCGAAGGGACGGCGTCTGGCGATCGTAAATTATGAATTGAAAACCGCCACTGAAACAACTCGTTTTTGGGTGAGTCAGTTTTTTTTGGTTGACATCGCGGTGGGTAGAGTCTACCGTAATGCATCGGAATCCGGACACTAAGTTCATATAAGTCCGGATGATTTTAAAAGTTGATTATCCTTGCCTATCATGCTCAGAATTTAACATGACTTAAGGAGAATCGCTGTGGCAACCTTGTTTCTGATTGATCCTACTGGCGACTCAAAATTTCAAGAGCACAAATTTTAGGGAGATGCAATCTAATGAGCGATGTCGAAACAGTGTCCGAGATTTGGGATCCAGAATATTCGAAGTGATAGAGCATATCAGTCATCATGATGGCCATTTGTGGAATCTTCAAGGGATCACCTTAATGTCATCGTTCAGAATCATTACATAGTTTATTATGTTGCAAAGAAGACGTAATATTTAATTAATTATTAGATGTTCGGATTAAAGGCTGCTTTACAGTTCGGAAACAATGTCACGGGATTTGATTCCGGCCACGGAAAAGCAAGTTCATGAATGTTTAGGTAATTTTAACCCATGTTTTCTTTAAGATTCATTTCTTTTACATGCATTATTATGCCTGTAGATATCAAATGCAGCTACGCTACTTTATGTAAATTTAATTTGAGGCAGCCGAGTGTTGAGTATAACAAAATTATCATTAGGTAACTTACTTGAAGAGTGACAAAACACAAATCCCATGACCGATTTCCCGAACTGTAAACCAGCCATAAAGAACCGTCCGGTATTCGGGGCATAGCGGTTTATCTGTACATCGAAGGTGGCGGAAAACAAGCACTCCGCCGTCCCCGGTGGAGCGAGCAGTAGGCGGTGAAGTCAGGAGCAGGGAAAGCGTCTGTTTTATTTTCAACTTAACGACACTGTCTCGGTCTACGGTATCTCGGTAATGGCGCACAAATGGTATTTGTGTGAGTCGGAGAATGAGCGTGAGGGAATGTGTTTTTGGTATTCCCACTCGATTTCGAGTGTCCCCGACTATCCAACGAATGGCGGTGTCCAATAATTACATACCACAGAGCGTCCGAGGGTGTATGGCTGTTTCAACGGAGGTGAAGCTAGGTTTCTGGTCGACGGGGTTCAATTTGGACCTCCACATTCTAATGTTCAAATCTCGATTACTTTTTCAAACGGTCCTTGATAACAGATGTAAACAAATCGAGTTAATCGATGCAAAATACAGGCCGGACTCGATTATCCGGGGCTCGATTATCCGGAGAAAATGGCTCGATTATCCGGAGTCATATTTTTTTTTACCTATCTTGTAAATTATTTTTCATAAACCGACTTTCGATCAGAGGACGAGTAACATACATCGTTCGACTCAGTCTAATAAGATCTAGAAATGACTATATTTAAGTGTTTGTGTGCCTTTGTTACAAAATCCGGCGTTAAGTGGTTTTGAATTAACTTTGACCTGAAAGCAATCGAACATATCATGTGCCACAACAACATACAAAAACTGAATCCCATGATGGTCCGTTCACTAATTACGTCACGTTTCAGGGGGGGGGGGAATGGCAACCGAACAAAATTTTTGAAGATCCGTAAAAAATTTACCAAAGGGCCTGTAACCCTTAACTTTGTACAACACACATGAGTTTTCCATTGCCATTTTGTTGCTGAAACGATCTGAAACCAACAAGTATTCCTCAAAAAACTTGTTTTGATCTAAGCAAGCTAAACTTTGATTACAGAAAACACCTAAAAAATGCGGATAATAGGGAAAATGTAAATGGAAACCGCGAAAACTGTGACCATACTACGTGGGATTTGACTTAATTGATTACAACATGGAGTATATCAAGATTCTGACAAGATAGAAAGTTACTGTCTCTGACAAAGTTGTTCAGGAGATCATAGCCTTGTCACTGGTGGACAGTAGTTCAGAATTTTCTCACTACGTAGCGCTAGTATACATGTGAAATTATCGCATGTGATATATCTCGAGATCCTGACCAGATAAAAAGTTACTGTCTTTCACAAAGTTTTTAAGGATATCAAAGCCTATTGCTTGGTGCTCAATAGTTCAGAATTTGCTCACTACGCGACGCTAGTATACACGTGAAATTCTCATATAAAATATCTCGAGTTCCCAACCAGTTAGAAAGGTACTGTCTTCGGCATAGTTGTTCAGGATGTCAAGGCTTTTTCGCAGGTGGACAGTAGTTCAGAGTTTTCTCACTTTGCGGCGCTACTATAGATGTGAAACTCTTGCATATAAAATATCTCTAGTTCCTGACCAGATAGAAAGTAAATATATTCGGCAAAGTTTTTCAGGAAGTCAAGATCTTTTTGTTGGTTGACAATGGTTTAGAATTTTCTCACTATGCGGTGCTAGTATATACGTGCCTTTCTCGCATATTCAATAGCTCGAGATCTTGATCAGCTAAAAAGTTGCTGTCTTCGGCAAAGTTGTTTAGGGGGTCAAGACTTTTTGGCTGGTAAACAGTAGTTAATAATTTTCTCACCACGTGGCGTTAGTATACATGTACACTTCTCGCATATGCTATATCTCGAGATCCTGATCAGATAGAAAGTTGTTCAGGAGGTCAAGGTCTTTTGGCTCGTGGACAGTAGTTCAGAATTTTCTCACTTCATGATGCTAGTATACATGCGAAATTCTCGCATATAAAATATCTCACGTTCTTGACCAGATAGAAAGTTACTGTCTTGAAAAAAGTTGCTTAGGAGTTGAAAGCCTAGAGTTTATGAGAAAATTCTAAACTATTGTTCACTAGCCAAAATACTTTGACCTCCAGTAGACAGTAACTTTCTATCTGAATAGGATCTCGAGATATAGCATATGCGAGAAGTGTACATCTATGCCACGTGGTGAGAAAATTCTGAACTACTGTTTACCAGCTAAAAATGCTTTGACCCCTGAACAACTTTGTCGAAGACAGTAACTTTCTATCTGGTCATGATCTCGAAACAAACCACATGCGAGAATTTCACGTGTATTCTAGCGCTACATAGTGAGAAAATTTTGAACTACTGTCAACTAGCGAAATCTATCTGATCAGAATCTCGAAATATTTTACATGTGAGAATTTCACGTGTATACTAGCGCCACGTAGTGTGAAAATTCTGAACTATTGTGCACCAAGCAATAGACATTGACCTCATGAACAACTTTTTCGAAGACAGTAATTTTCTACCTGTTCAGAATCTCGAGCTTAGCATACGCGAGAATTGTACACGTTTACTAGCGCCATGTGGTGACAAATTTCTAGGCTACCGTCAACCAGCCAAAAAGTCTTGACCCCCTGAACAAGGTTGCCGAAAACAGTAACTTTCTATCTGCTCAGGATCTCGAGCTATTGTAAATGCGAGAATTGCATGTGTATACTAGCACCGAGTAGGGAGAAAATTCTGAACAACTGTCCACCAACGAAAAGATCTTGACTTCCTGAAAAACTTTGCCAAAGACATTTATTCTTTATCTCGTCAGGGTCTAGTGATGTATCACATGCGAGAACTGAACATGTATACGATCACTACCTAGTGAGAAGATTTTGAGCTACTGTTGATCAACAAAAAAGCTTTGCAAAGCTGAACAGCTTTGCCTAAGACAGTAACTTTCTATCTGGTCAGGATCTCGAGATATTTTATACTAGCGCCGTGTAATGAGAAAATTCTGAACTACTGTCCACCAGCCAAAACTACTTGACACCCTGAACAAGTTTGCCGAAGACAGTAACTTTTATCTGCTCAGGATCTCGAGCTATTGTATATGGAAAATTGCATGTATATACTACCGCCACGTAGTGAGAATTTTCTGAACTACTCCACCAACGAAAAGATCTGGACTTCCTGAAAAACTTTGCCGAAGACAGTAACTTTTTGTATGGTAAGGATCTAGAAATATTTTATATATGCGAGAATTTTACATGTATACTAGTGCCACGAAGTGAGAAAACGCTGAACTACTGTCCACCAACAAAAAGGCCTTGACCTTCTGAACAACTTTGCCCAAGACAGTAATTTTCTATCTGGTCAGGATCTCGAGATATTCCATGTTGTAACCAATTAATTCAAATCCCTTGTAGTACGGACACGGTTTATGCGGTTTCCATTCACATTTTCTCTATAATCCGCATTTTTGTGGGTTAACTGTGATAACATTTTTTTGAGTAATGACAAGTAATGATGAATTTTTGTGTATTTTTTTTTTTTTTTTTTTCATTCACGTATTTTCGATTCATTACTCGAGAGCAGTGAATTGTCCCTCGGTTTCATCCAGAGTGGTGTTCGTCACGCTTTCTCCTTCATGAAAATGTGAATCATGGTTAAGCACAGCATTGACTATGTCAGCATCAGACATGACATCGAATTCCGCATTCTCGTCTTCATTTTCGCCTGCAGCCGCTTTATCAGCAACCATCAGTTGAATTGTTACACTATCATTCCTAGAGCACCGGAACTAATATTTGCAATGTTAACATTTCAAAAATATTAATGGAAAATGGTCGAAATTGATCGAGTGCGTTAAGTTAGGAACCGCGTCAAATATGGTGCCTTCACGGTAGCCGTGATTTTTAGCCAAGCTCAACTTTGTCTCTACACACTCGTGTGAGTCGCGAGACTACGATTTTTCTCAAGTTGAGGGGCCAACCACGCCATGGGCTACACGTTCGCTTCTCAAACGGATGGTCCATGGGTTCAATTTCATTGATCTTCTTATCGAATTTTGATGTATTTTAATGTGCCTCATGAGAGGTTACTATCCAAGTCCGATTCT